GATAAACCTTTCGTTCAGTTTTATATCTTTCTTCGGATTTGATGCTCGGTCTCTCTTTGTAATCCTCTGGTCACCCGTCAAAAGCATCGCACAAAGCGCACAACTCTGTAGCTCCAGTGACGACCATCGGGGTTCTCCGAAACATCCACACTCCTAAATCAAATGTGAGTGTACACACACATAAACACACACACACACTCACACACAAATATCGGTCGTATTCCATACATAATGAAATAAGCCAAATAACTCTAGGTAAAAGCAACCGAGCCTTCTCTACATCTGGAGGCGTACCGTTTAAATAAACTAACACAAAAAAAGTCGAAGGGAGTTGAGTCAAGAATTTACATCACAGCACTCAGGCATTCCCATGCATGCTCCGTCATCATCGTCAGCAGCCAGCGCAGAGTTCCAATACTGATGGTATCGGTCACAATCTGGTTAAAAGTCCGTCTTGCCTTTCCTCTGAGTCTTGTGAACCGGCAAGACTCTCTGGTTACAGACCAGGCCCTAATAATTTTTTTCTCTACTCATTCCGTTGCTTGTTCTTAAAGGGCCTTGACCACATCTGCCCTGTCATGTCTCAGTTCACCACCCAGTGGTGCGGATCCAGACAATCTGTCTGCCTGTTCATTACTCACCACGCCGGCATGGCCTGGAGAAAAGATCCAAAGTATGCTCACTACCCGTGACCTTTCCAGTGAAGCTAGCCACTCTGCTCGAAGCATCCCTGTCCTCACCTTTTTTAGCATGCTTTCAGAGTCTGTTACAATCACGACATGTGTATGCATCTTGTTCTGTAGCCACCGGAGAGCTGCAGTTACCGCCTCCAAATCCATTCTTATGCTAGATGTTGTGGTGTCATTTGCTAGGCTGTCCTGCACTAAAGATTTTCCATTGGCTTTCGCTACGAACCCCCAGGCACTTCTCTTTCCCCTTAACAGTGAACCATCTGTATTGAATTGTCGTGAATCAACTGTTGGACTTCAACCCCCGTAGCACCCGCTGGCCACTCTCTATACATCCGGCCCAATGTGATCATAACCCTACACAGGTCAGACTTTTCCGCTGGTACTCTGACCCACTCCTCTCCTCGCCCAATGTTCTCCAGCATGCATACTTGTCTTATTGTGTCTTCTGCTTGAGTCATCCACAATTTTCCCCTTTTCAGTCTCTGACCCTGGCCTGCAGCAAAAGCTTCATACAGAGGTTGTTTCCTCTCTGCAGCTATCTGATGTATGACTTAGCCTGCAGCACCTTTAGCCTATCTGCAATATTCGGCAATGCAAGGATGTATCGACGGCACACAATCGGGGTGTCTCTTGTACAACCCAGGATCAGCCGCATAGCTTTATTCTGTATGCGCTCCAGTTTCTCAAGCTGACTCTTCGAGACAGTGAGTAACCCCAAACCATAATCAATCACTGAGATTATTAAGTGCTGGTAAAGTGTGAACAAGATTCTCTGCTCCATTTCCATTGCTGCCGTAACCTTTAGTGGGTTTAGACTTTTCGGAGCCCTTGTCACATCCCCCTCTATGTGATCCCTGAAAGACAAACTTCTATCAAAGGGAAGAATGTCCAAGGATTAGGAACAGACTAAGTAGAACAGATACACCCCCAAGGCGTTGAGAACGGCCTCTTACATTCTAGAGACTACAGTGATAGTGCATTAATACATCCGTAACTAAACACAGCCAACGAGAAATAAGTGAACCCCTATCAAGGTCCCAGTTATGAACAGATCGATAGTTCGTCAGGGACAAGTACGTCTATCTTAAATATGAAACGAGAAGGCTTCATCGATCGACTGATTAACTAGAGAAGCAGTCACTGCATTGAGAAAACATCCACAAGTGCGCAGTCTCTTTCACGAGTTGTTGGAGTGAATAAGTACTGATTGTTCCTGTAGCATGCTAATTGTGAAATTCTCTTATATCCCTTTTTGTGATCTTGTCCGCTGCAGCATTTAATAAAAATAAAATTTAAAATGAAAACTAAATGAATGCATTAGAAAACGCAAGCGTCGGAAATGAGGTCCTTTAGAAAGACACTTAGTATTTCATATTTCGGCTATCCCGCGAATAAATTATCGAGGCGGAAAATATACCCTAACAGGGCCTCAGTCACGTGTCAGTTACGCACTTCCGGGGACTATAACGCCACCGCCGAATTGCGAACTTCCGGCGACTTCCGCCATCGCCAAATGTATCCCCCACGCCGCTCACGCGACGTGGATTGGGGCTGAACTAGATGGTTAGGACTCACGAGCAAATAAAATGAAGGAAGTTGCAGGACATGCGGTAGCTGCTGCTCGTGAGTCCCAGCCATCTAGTACAGCACCAATCCACGCCGCGTGAGTGGCGTTTGGGATACTCTCGGCGGTGGCGGAAGTTGCCGGAAGTGCGCTATTTAAGACGACGGAAGTGCGCAATTGATACGTGACTGAGACCCTATTAGGGTATATTTTCCGGCTCGATAATTTAGGACCGTTATTCGGAGGATAGCCCATATTTCGTCTTCTTGAAGTCCACGCCGTGTGGCGTTGGTAGTCATGTCTATCCACAACCTTCTGTCTCGTGTCTTTCAGTCAACTCTGACACAGATGATCATGCATGCCATGATCTCGAACTGTCCAGCATCTTTTCTCTCTGTCTCCCTCTGCCTCTCTTTCCATCCAACTTTCCTACTTTCACCTACAAGACACCACATCACAAATGACGAAGTAACGCTCTATCAGCTCTTAACACGCTGGACACCAACAATGTCTTTTAACAACAGTCTAAATACTGCAAATGCGATTGTACGGACATGAAACAGAATCTACCGGCCTCTTTGAACAGACACTACAGGACGCTGTAGAGGGGAAGATGAAAAGAGGCAAACCAAGAAAGACATTGAAGCAGAATTTGGCTGAATGGACGGAGTATTCGTTCGTTCGTTCGATTTCAGTTAGCCACGTACAACCTCTGAATAGGGAGCTAGGTAGTCTTAGTTTCAGCTTCATAGCAAACGGGTCACCCCATCTTTGCTCCGCTCCTGTGCCAACAAAAAACACACAGAATGTTTATCACAGTCAGGGCACCACCAAAATTGCGACGACAGGCATCGCCTCATCTTCTGAATAGGGAGCTAGCCTCGTCCTTGTCAGTATCGGTTATAATTATGGCAATAAATTGTGTTGTTATTTTATTGCGTAAAGTTTAGTGCTAGTATTATATATTATATGTCATGAGTCACATGACTAAGATTTTACTGAGAATTATTATGAGAAGAATAAAAAACCAAATTAAACCAGAAATCAGCGATGAACAATGTGGATTTGTAGAAGGAAAAGGTACAAACAATGCCATATACATCATAAGGACATTGTCAGAAAGAGCTATAGAAGTAAAGACGGATTTGTATTTATCTTCATAAAATAAGCAAAAGCATTTGACTGTGTGAAGCATGAAGAAGTAATCAAACTGTTAGAAAAATTAAACATTCGTGGAAAAGATCTACGAATAATAAAGAATATGTATTAGCAGCAAACAGCAGCCATAAGAATTAACAACTGTTTAGGTACATTTCAAAGCATAAAGAGGGGAGTACGAAGAGAATGTGTACTTTCACCTGATTTGTTTTCAATTTACAGTGAATATATTATGAGATCTTTAATTGATATGCCCGGAATTGTGGTTGGTGGGCACAATATAAACAATTGACGTTATGCTGATGACACAGTCTTGATATCAACAAGTCAGAAAGAACTACAGGAAATGATAGACATTGTGTTGTTAGAAAGTGGAAGAATGGGCCTCAGTTTGAATAATGGGAAGACAGAAGTAATGGTGGTATCCAAGAAACGAATTATTTCTAAATGTGTAATAAAAGTCGATCGTGTTATTTTAGGACAAGTACAGAAATTTAAGTATCTGGGCAGATGGATAACATCAGATGGAAGATGCATAACTGAGATAAGAAACAGAATAGGACAGGCAAAAACTGCATTTTATAAAATAAAGAACATCTTGTGCAATATATCCTAGTCATTGAGAGTTAGAAAAAGAATTCTTGCCTGCTACATACATCTAGTTTTAACATATGGCTGTGAATCCTGGACAATCGGTAGGCAGGCCAAACAATTTATTGAGGCCTCAGAGATGTAGAATGCTTCGAATACCTTGGACAGCCAAAAAGAGCAACCAAGAGGTTTTGAAAGAGGCGGGAGTCCGAAGACAACTTATCACAGACATCAGAAGGAGACCGTCATCATTTTTCAGCCATGTTATGAGAAGAGGGAAAATAGAACATGTTGTAATCACTGAAAAGATCTGTGGAGAGAGAGATAGAGGAAGACAACGAGAGAAGATTCTTGACAGTCTTGTTGCATGGCATGGAGGTGTGTCGGCACACGAACTGATACATGCTGCAGGAGATCGTAGATTATGGAGAGGCATGATCGCCCAAGCCAGTCGGCAAGGCACCTGATGATGATGATGATTATATGTCTTCCACTTCTTTTTGGACGGCTAGGTCGTGTCCATTTTCATTGTATAGGTTTGGATCTGATTAGGTCATGTGTTTCTTATTGTGCCATTTGTTGGTGGTGCTACTATCATTGCTTGGGCTCTCCTGAGCTATTCATGGTGTTATTGCTGTATACCAATTTTTGGTGTAGTTTTGGTAGCTGTTATCGCTACTGTGCCGCCATTAGGTCCTCAGTTGCTACCGCGATCTTGACTAGGCTTCGTCAACGTTAAATGTCTATCGCATCCGATCAGGAGAAGGAACTGTTAAGACAGCAACTGGTGACCCAGCAACATGCGATGTTATGAGAGGGCCATAATTAATACAATAAAAGGCAATTTAAAAAAAAAAAAAAAAAACTAAGGAAAAGAGATTTGCTAAATTCTAAGTTAGTGTTAAATACGGCATCTACAATAAACAGCGTCTAAAAGTTAAAAACACAAGCCGAGCAAAAATCTACGAAAGTTATTTTGATGTTAGGCTTCGAACCTGCAGTTTCAGACCTGACATCAATGTGGTTATCAGTAATTGATTCTAGCAGCGGGATGCTGTCAATAAAATAAAACAGAAATAAATCTTTGCGTGCGAATAATCCATTTGTATGCGGTCTGCATCAACATAAAATAAAACACTGAATGTGTCTCTACTGTTAATTGCGCACAACTGGAAAAAATCGTTGCCAATAACTCGCAATGATTGTGGAGCAATAGAGATGTCATAAAAAGAATTATATTAATCAGTCACTGTAACAGTTATTTTTTTGAGAATGAATAAATGAAGACTTAGCTACATCGCTGCATACGAGAAATTCCCGCAGGCGATCAGTCCCCATGTGCAGCAGTCAACGAACAGTTACTATGCCGATGGTATCTATAGCAAATAGTTAAAATTCCACACATCTTTTCCTCTGTCCTTTGAATGTTGTACCGGCCATCCGCTCATTGCATGTTGAATCACTCACGACAGGCATAGGTGTTGTGTTCCGTTGCACTGTCCTCTTGATTCCAGAGATCTTTCGCATCTGTCTTGTAATATAGTCGGTGTCTGTGGCTAAGGGGTTGGGGACGCGCTTCTTAATGCTGGGGTGCCGGGTCGGATCCCTACTGTGGACGATTTGTCTTGCGTTGGTTTCGACTGTGGTAGCGAGAGCTGACCACTCAGGAAATTTTGGTCAACTACTTAAGATAACATTTGTCTAGAGAAAACCAAAACAGCCAAAAATGCTAGGGTTGGTTCTGCAATGTTCTGTAAAGGATACGCAACTAATTTTTTAACTTGTCATAAAGCAGCTCTCTGCCCCAGGGTTGGGCAGCAGCCAAATCTATCAGCTTGATCCCTGATCGCTCTCCAGACGTGCCGTCTTCACAATCAAAGCTGTGGTTATGCAACATCCACATTGTCCATGCCTCTGGTTATGCTTTCGAACATTCAGATGTTCGTATGTATATTATGTGTCGTATCTTCCCATTTGTATCACTGCCTGCCTTTTTCTAGCAGAACTTGGAGTTTGGTCATCAGTAATAATTGAGATGTAGGAATCCACTACGAGGCAGACTTTGGTGTGTGTGTGTGTGTGTGTGATTCTGTATTAATATCCTACCCCTGGTGACGTCAAAGGACAGTCCAACATTTTACAGGATGGTAAGACTGGGTTTCCAGGCTTTCTAATGCTTTTAACGACCTCAAAACATCTAGAACTGGCCCTAACCCCAACCCAGCTACGTCCCACAAGAGAAGGCAGCCTAGGTCCCACGAATGCATGCAGCCTACGTCTCACGACTGCATTCGGCCTATCTACCACCCCCTGAAATATTAGACTGATTTGTGGATTTCCCCTGTTTGGGGTAGGTTTTTAATTAAGCACAATTTTTCCAGAACTAACACTGGCTCCCAGACCGAGTCAGCCTGAAAATGGTACAGGCTCATTGAAAATAAAGGTGGGCGGCGTAATATAGACCACACCACCCTTGACAACACCACTCACTGAGTGCCGAATGGTGTAATGTAGACCACACCACCCACTGAGTGCCGAATGGTGTAATGTAGACCACACCACATACTGAGTGCTGAATGTTGTAATGTAGACCACACCACCCACTGAGTGGTGAATGGTGTAATGTAGACCACACCACCCACTGAGTGATAAATAGTTAATGTAGACCACACCACTCACTGAGTGCTGAATGTTGTAATGTAGACCACACCACTCACTGAGTGCCGAATGGTGTAATGTAGACCACACCACCCACTGAGTGCTGAATGTTGTAATGTAGACCACACCACCCACTGAGTGGTGAATGGTGAAATGTAGACCACACCACCCACTGAGTGATAAATAGTTAATGTAGACCACACCACTCACTGAGTGCTGAATGTTGTAATGTAGACCACACCACTCACTGAGTGCCGAATGGTGTAATGTAGACCACACCACCCACTGAGTGATAAATAGTTAATGTAGACCACACCACATACTGAGTGCTGAATGTTGTAATGTAGACCACACCACCCACTGAGTGCCGAATTGTGAAATGTAGACCACACCACACACTGAGTGCCGAATCTTGTAATGTAGACCACACCACCCACTGAGTGGTGAATGGTGAAATGTAGACCACACCACCCACTGAGTGGTGAATGTTGTAATGTAGACCACACCACCCACTGAGTGCCGAATGGTGTAATGTAGACCACACCACCCACTGAGTGGTGAATGGTGAAATGTAGACCACACCACTAACTGAGTGCTGAATGTTGTAATGTAGACCACACCACCCACTGAGTGGTGAATGGTGAAATGTAGACCACACCACCCACTGAGTGATAAATAGTTAATGTAGACCACACCACTAACTGAGTGCCGAATTGTGAAATGTAGACCACACCACCCATTGAGTGATAAATAGTTAATGTAGACCACACCACCCACTGAGTGATAAATAGTTAATGTAGACCACACCACCCACTGAGTGATAAATAGTTAACGTAGACCACACCACTCACTGAGTGCCGAATGGTGTAATATAGACCACACCACTCAATGAGTGCCGAATGGTGTAATGTAGACCACACCACTCAATGAGTGCCGAATGGTGTAATGTAAACCACACCACCCACTGAGTGCCGAATTGTGTAATGTTTACCACACCACCCGAATGGTGTACAGAAACGTGCCTAGCATCAAATGTCTGATATGTTTCTGGCGTATAAAAGGTCCCTTACTTATTTTACATTTACTAGATTGTTTACAGCTGACGGTTGACTGGTGAATCCTTCTGAAGGAACGACCTCTTTTGTGTGTATCACTTCGTGTTTTTCTTTGATAACCTGTGCCAGAGATAATAATGTCGGCTGGTACCATTGTTGGTTACACGAGTTTGTTAACGATTCAGGACATGGCAAGTGGCCTGATGCCACAGATCGTGAAGTGCTTTATGCGATTAATTGTGGGTGCAACTACTGATCAGTCGCAGCTGCTGCTTTCATCGACTATGGACATTTTTCTGGTATAGGATTGTTTATAGCCGTAATAATGATTGCAGACGTGTGCATTTTCTGCGCGTGTATGCAGTTGGATTTGCTAATGCTGCAGTCTGTGTCAAGTTTACAAGAGACAATTTGTGGTCTTGGTGGGCATAGGAACGGAGCAACGATGGGGGTGTCCTGTTTTTGGTCAAGATAGAATTACGATGAGCTGATTACCTGCAGCAGGCAAACATTGCCACAGAAACTCTACTATTTTATCTTTTAAAAAAATTTGGAGGCTGACATGTGACCTCACCTGCTAAACTGTAATCTCGAAGCTGATAACTTGAGCATCTCTTCTGAGCTTGGGGTCACGTCGGTTGTGTTGTGGAAAGTTACGAATGAAACATTTCTCGTGGGCGACCTGATCTTGACATAGACTTTGTTTCCGGGTCGAGGTTTGCTTTCGTCCTGAATTATGGGATAGTGACAATGTTTTTTAAAATGCAAGAATTTAAATGGATACAGCAGTAGAGCTTTTACGAAGAATAGCGGAATGAAACTAAAAATCAACTGTCAGCCAGAAAAAGAGGAGACAGCAAAGGGGGAATAAGTATATAGGGAAAGGTTAAGTGGAAAAAAAAGGAGAATGATTAGCGACAAAAAGGCAGAAATATCAGAGGATGACTATGACAATTATAGGAGGCTAAAGAAGAAGAAGAAGAAGAGCAGGAGGAAGAAGAAGAAGAACAAGAAAAAGAAGAACCAAAAAAAGAAGTTAGAGGAGAAAAGAAGAAAGAGGAGAACAAGAAGAAAAAGAACAACAACATAACTAACGGGAGAAAGATGTAAGAGAAAGAAGCGATGAAAAGATGTGGGGGGGGGGGTAAAAAGAGAAGAAGAAGAAGAAAAATAAGGAGAAGAAGAGGACAGGGGGGGGGGAGGAACAGGAAGAGCAGGAGAAAAGGAAGAAGAAGAAGTAGTAGTAGTAGTAGTAGTAGTAGTAGTAGTAGTAGTAGTAGTAGTAGTAGTAGTAGTAGTAGTAGTAGTAGTAGTAGTAGTAGTAGTAGTAGTAGTAGTAGTAGTGGTAGTAGTAGTAGTAGTAGTAGTAGTAGTAGTAGTAGTAGTAGTAGTAGTAGTAGTAGCAGCAGCAGCAGCAGCAGCAGCAGCAGCAGCAGCAGCAGCAGCAGCAGCAGCAGCAGCAGCAGCAGCAGCATATCATACTCCACACATGCTGTGTTTTATCAAACATCACACAACACAAACAGGTTAGCAGCACCTCTCTGTCTGTCCAGATGAATGTGTTATACTGTGTTATAGGGAAGCATGAGAATAAAGTTCCTCCGCTGAATAGCCTCAAAGCCAAGCTAATCTGTAGAGAACCTGTGTTGCCCATGAATCATGATCCCTCCCCAGGCCTACCGTGTTTACCCTATAGGAAAGATAACAACGACACCTTTGAAACAAAGCATGCTACAGAAGCTGCCGGATCAGAAAAGCAGTGCTCTGTTAAAAGATTCCCTTCTAGACCAGTTGCTAGTCAAAGCTAACGACCTTGTCTGCCCTGCCATGAAACTTAAGTTTTCAGGTTGCATGTCCTCTCCCTATGATAAGGCTAGTATCCTCCCCTCCCGAAGTGCACCCTACTAACCTATAGGTCAAGAAAATATTGTGGGAGATGGTGTACAGTTCGGAGGAGCAAAGGGATCACCACAGTCTGTTGAGAGTGATGCAGCTAGGAGTGACGAGGGGATCTGGCCGATACTCGACGCTCAGAGGAAAGGAAAGGCGGAAGTTTATCCAGAATACTACTGGCACCATTGGTAGTGGAACTCTTCGCTGGCTGCTGAAGCTGGGGACGGAGAGTTTATGGGAATGCCCGAGTGCTGTAATGTCGATTCTTGAATCAACTCAACAAAATATTACACATACTTAATGATTCAACTAATCTGATTATCTTTGAAAACAAAATGCCCCCAGACTGACCTCCACTTGGTACCGATGCAAAGGTACCACACAAGTGCCTCTGTGAATCGTGGGCAGGTTCTGGTGCCACTGGGTTAGTCTCCCCTCCAGCTCGTCGAGGGCCAAGTTACTGCTCACCCAGTCGTTACCGTCTGTAGAATCTAGGTCATTGGCGTCGGCGCTATCACCACCCAAAGCAGTCATTCTGTTTCCTTTACATGGGATGTAGAAAGTACATTGAGAGAGTGGGCGTTTATGTGTGTGCCTGTGTTTGCGTGAGTGTGTTTGAGCGTGTGTGTGTATGTGCTTGTATGTGTGTGTATGTATGTGCGTGCGTGTGTTTGTGTTTTGTGTGCTTGTGTGTGCGTGCTTTCTATGTGTGTGTGTGCGTTGATGTATGTGTGTGTACTTCTGTGTGCCTATGTGTATGTTTGTGTGTGTTAACACTTGTGTGTGTGTTTGTGTGTGTGCTTGTGTGTGTGTTTGTGTGTACATGTTGCGTGTACCTGTGTTTTCTGTGTGCGCATGTGTGGTTATGTGCACGTAATATGTGTCTAGGTGTGTGACTGTCAGCATATGCGGGTGTGCATTTCAAACCAGAAGCTCAAGTGATAATAAGGTAGAAATGTTAGTAAAGAGTGATACATTTGAACTTTGGAAACCGAACGCCTAGCACATGGTTTTGGTGACCTAAAGAGACTATCTGTTATTCCTAATATCATTCCTCTGACTAAGTCTCTGGCTTTGGAAGTCAACGAAAAGGACGTCAACGACTTAGGAGACGAATACGCTGCTAAGCTGACAACACAAGAGCTTCATCACCATCATCAGCTGCGAAATGAAGAAACCGAAGAGGAAACTTTTCCAGTAGAGGAAGACAAGGAAATTATAAAGGGTTAGTTAGTTAGTTAGTTAGTTAGTCAGTCAGTCAGTCAGTCAGTCAGTCAGTCAGTCAGTCAGTCAGTCAGTCAGTCAGTCAGTCAGTCAGTCAGTCAGTCAGTCAGTCAGTCAGTCAGTCAGTCAGTCAGTCAGTCAGTCAGTCAGTCAGTCAGTCAGTCAGTCAGTCAGTCAGTCAGTCAGTCAGTCAGTCAGTCAGTCAGTCAGTCAGTTAGTCAGTCAGTCAGTTAGTCAGTCAGTCAGTCAGTCAGTCAGTCAGTCAGTCCAGTCAGTCAGTCAGTCAGTCAGTCAGTCAGTCAGTCAGTCAGTCAGTCAGTCAGTCAGTCAGTCAGTCAGTCAGTCAGTCAGTCAGTCAGTCAGTCAGTCAGTTAGTTAGTCAGTCAGTCAGTCAGTCAGTCAGTTAGTCAGTCAGTCAGTCAGTCAGTCAGTCAGTCAGTCAGTCAGTCAGTCAGTCAGTCAGTCAGTCAGTCAGTCAGTCAGTCAGTCAGTCAGTCAGTCAGTCAGTCAGTCAGTCAGTCAGTCAGTCAGTCAGTCAGTCAGTCAGTCAGTCAGTCAGTTAGTTAGTTAGTTAGTTAGTTAGTTAGTCAGTCAGTCAGTCAGTCAGTCAGTCAGTCAGTCAGTCAGTCAGTCAGTCAGTCAGTCAGTTAGTTAGTTAGTTAGTCAGTAGTTAGTCAGTCAGTCAGTCAGTCAGTCAGTCAGTCAGTCAGTCAGTCAGTCAGTCAGTCAGTCAGTCAGTCAGTCAGTTAGTTAGTTAGTTAGTTAGTTAGTTAGTTAGTTAGTTAGTTAGTTAGTTAGTTAGTTAGTTAGTCAGTCAGTCAGTCAGTCAGTCAGTCAGTCAGTCAGTTAGTTAGTTAGTTAGTTAGTTAGTTAGTTAGTTAGTTAGTTAGTTAGTCAGTCAGTCAGTCAGTCAGTCAGTCAGTCAGTCAGTCAGTCAGTCAGTCAGTTAGTTAGTTAGTTAGTTAGTTAGTTAGTTAGTTAGTTAGTTAGTTAGTTAGTTAGTTAGTTAGTTAGTTAGTTACTTAGTTAGTTAGTTAGTCAGTCAGTCAGTCAGTCAGTCAGTTAGTTAGTTAGTAAGTTAGTTAGTAGTTAGTTAGTTAGTTAGTTAGTTAGGTTAGTTAGTTAGTTAGTTAGTTAGTTAGTTAGTTAGTTAGTTAGTTAGTTAGTTAGTTAGTTAGTTAGTTAGTTAGTTAGTTAGTTAGTTAGTTAGTTAGTTAGTTGGTTGGTTGGTTGGCTGGCTGAAGGGTTGGTTGGTTGGTTAGTTTGTTGGTTGGTTGGTTAGTTTGTTAGTTAGTTATTTGGTTGGTTGGTTGGTTAGTTAGTTAGTTATTTAGTTAGTCAGTTAGTTTGCTAGTTAGTTAGTTAGTTAGTTAGTTAGTTTAGTTAGTTAGTTTAGTTAGTTGGTTAGTTAGTTAGTTAGTTAGTTAGTTAGTTAGTTAGTTAGTTAGTTAGTTAGTTAGTCTTTCTCTTGAGCCTAGGGCGGTGGAAAGGGCAGAGGTCATAGCTCTGCATGTATTGCTGAATGTTTGTTGCCACTTGTTTTAGGTCTTGAATATTTTTTAAGTCCATCGTTGAGCCTTCTCTGATGATGGTTCTACACAGGGTCTCTCTTGGCCTTTCCCGTTTTATTTTCCCTTACGGTGTCCATATAAGAACTTGATAGGGAAAGTCTGGTCCTATCCATTCTGACTGCATGGCCGATGTAGTTCCAGCGGTGCTTTCTTTTAAAATTTATACATTAACTTGTTTGGTCTCTTTTCTTACTTGCGTATTGGATCTGAAATCTGTCCAGTGGGGTTTATTATTCTTTTAAGACATTAGTTCTCAAAACTGGTATTTTTTTTTAAATCTAAAGCCACCGTTGGAAGAATCAGCTCTGACAAAATCCAAAATCTGTTGACTGTGGACCAAAACTAACGACGCTGTTAAGAAGAGGCTCTCTGACATGAGACCTGGCTAACAGGTGTGTGTGTGTGTGTGGGTGTGTGTGGGTGTGTGTGTGGGTGGGTGTGTGTGTGGGTGTGGGTGGGTGTGTGAATATGTGTGTTAACTTTCAAACACAAGAAAGGATTCCTGATGTTATCATTTAAGGTGATTCACCATCCAAACAATAATTTCCATATACCCCCCTTCATGCTATCACTTTTATGAACTCTATCACCATTTGTAGCAAGGTAAAGTAATTACCATGTTGTTATATCGTTTTTTAATGGTTATTTATTTATGTTTTTATTTAAAAAGATCAGCATTTGTTACTATATTTACAGATGTACAGTGGTACCTCAGAATTCGAACCTAATCCCGTTTCGAGATGGCGATCGAATTCCAAATCGTTCGAGTTCCAAGGTGATTTTCCCTACTGAAAGTAATGGAAACTAGATTAATATTTTCCATACGCACCATTAAAATACATATGAATACCGTTAACATTGTGACGAATACCACCAATATACTCACACATACCGCTTACATACCCAGGCATACCGTTAACATACCCAGGCATACCGCTAACATACCCAGGCATACCGTTAACATACTCACCAGCTTCTAAAGCGCTGATGAAGTCCCCACCTTGCTGGCCACCATACAAGTTGATCATAGAGGCCGTGGTTGACCCTTGGTCATCTTCATCCCCATCACTTTTGTAGATGTTAGCGTTAAAAGCCCGGCTGTTTAAAATTCCTCTAGACACCCCTGGCAAGGGCGCCGCTCTTGTGGTCTTGTTTGCTGAATTCAACTGGAAAGGATTGGTTGTATAGTTGGACCGCTTCTGTTGCCTGACCTTAATTTCCTTTGCGCGTTTACGAATTAAGTAGAACACAGTACCTGGGCCGTACATATCCACCAAAGGTCCTTTCTGTAGGTTTGCTATACTGATTACTGATTCGTGCATTGGTTTTGTTCGTGGCATGCTAGCTAGGCGTCTTGCATCCTTTTCCTTTTCATCCATTGTGTACAGAAAATATCTGTACAGGGGGATAACCTCGTCGTGCAGACGGGAGAAATGTAAGGTCAATTTCGTGTGTACTATGTCCTTCAGCATCTCCAGAGCTTGGGGATTTCGCTTCTCGATGAGTCGGTCGTAGTTTCTCTGGTCTAAATGGTAAATTGTCGATTCTTCTGTACACTCTACTGTCTGGGAATACGAATTTAAGCCCATTGCCACTTCTAGGTCGCCTGTAAAGAAGTGGGATGAAGATGGTTAGAAATGTGATGCATATTGTAGGACATGGGATGATCTTGGTCAAAAATAGGAGGGGCATGGCTAGAAATAGGACGAACATAGGTATAAATGTTAGGAACTGGTCAGAAATGGGAAGGGTGTTGTTAGAAATGGGAGGAACATTGTTAGAAATATGATGAACATGGCTAGAAATGAAATGGACATGGCTAGAAATGAGATAAACATGGTTACGAATGAATGAACATTGGTAGAAATAAGCCGAACATGGTCAGAAATGGGATGAACATGGTCAGAAATTAAAAGAACATGGTTAGAAATAGAATGAACATTGCTGGAAATGCCCTTCATTATCAGTTTATTAGGAAGAAGGCTTGACTTGAAATTTTTTTTAAAGAAGGTTGGGGGTGGGGGTGGGAGGGGGTGGGGGGGGGGGGAGAAGAAGATTAACGTGGGGCTAAAGATATATTATAATACAGTGACTGAAAATCTCAAATACAACTCAATATTTCAGCTAGAATCAATGAAAAATACAAGGAAGTTATAAACAACCGGCTTTCTCCCACACACACAGACGCGCGCGTACACACACACACACACACACACAAACACACACACACGCAAACACACACACACACACAAACACAAACGGTAATAAAGTAAGAAACGCAACTTAACTAACTGACTCACCTATGACATCGGTAGACCCCGCCAGACAAAGCTCTAGTGATTTGTGGGGGGATTTCTTCACGTCTGCTTGTGGTATAGTTCTCTTGTGGTAAATGGATCGCTTGTCCGATGTTTTCTGTCTCTCCAGGTTCATCTCTCTGGATCGAAAAAAAAGTAATTTTTAGTGTGAAATAGAAGCACTTGAACATAGCTCATTTGCCTCAGTGTTGTGATCAGCGAAGCCCTTTAGTCTCGGAGCCATGTACACCGTTAATCTAGGGAATATGCGGCCATCCCCCGGCTCGAACCCGAGACCAGACAAGCCTGGGGTATGTCACCCGATGCCCAACGTGCTATCAACTACGCTGAAGCGCAGGGCAAAAAGTCATGTGCTTGTTATGCGGATCAGAAGGTCGTGGGATTAGGAATGAAGGAGTTGGAATATTTTTAAAAACTGACTTTGGCTCCGGGGTCAACCCAGCCTTGAGTGGGTATCAGCTGCAGAGATGGGAAGTAAAGGCGGCCGGCGTGGTGCTGACCACATCACCAACCAAGTGCCGATGTGTCTATAAACTATAGGTCTAGCCCTATATGCCCAATACACCGTTAGGCGTTAAAGTGTCCTTTACGTTTACTTATATATATATATATATATACGGATTTTATGTATCACACATACATACATACATACTATACATACGACATACATACATACATACATACCATACATACATACATACATACATACATACATACATACATACATACCCTATACATACATACATACATACAGTACATACATACATACATACATACATACATACATACATACATACATACATACATACAGACAACATACATACATACACATACATACATACATACATACATACATACAGTACATACATACACACATACATACATACATACATACATACATAGTACATATACATACATACATACATACATACATACATACATACATACATACATCCATACATACATACATACATACATACATACATACATACATACATATTTACATACATACATACATACATACATACATACAACATACATACATACATACATACATACATACATACATACATACATACATACATACATACATACATAACATACATCACATACAACTACATACATACATACATACATACATACATACATACATACATACATACATACATACATACATACATACATACATACATACATACATACATACATAACATACATACATACATACATACATTACATACATACATACATACATACATACATACATACATACATACATACATACATACATGTTGTGTATGTAGATATATATATATATATATATATATATATATATATATATATATATATATATATATATATATATATATATGTATGTGGTGTGTGTGTGTGTGTGTGTATGTTAGTGTGTGTGTTTTTGTTTGTCTGTGCGTGTGTGTAAAAGAGGCAATGGAAAAATTATTATAAGCTGTCTAGAAAGGTACATGAAAAGATGCAGTATACATAAATTCAGAAACAGTCACAGACTCAGAGACACAAGAGGCCGACCAGGAAAGACATAGGTAGAGGTAGTAAAAGAGACAGTACAGAAACGAAGTATGACATCAACATGAGCTACGTAACTAGTACAAGACAAGCAACTACATACAACTCTTCTCTGTGATGTTTTACGCAATAAGACAAAAGAAAAAGAAGCCATACAATGAGACGGACGGATGTGTGGTGTTGCCATCAGGGATTTGGGAAAAGCATTAAAAACATGCCTTTGTACTTACTGACGGAGCATCTCACGGGCTTTCTCCTTCTCTAGATCGGCAATATCCCCGAGTGGGTATAGGTGAGGGTACTGGTTGGGGTGCTGATTTGGATCCACTCTGATTTTTACCTGACCTCTGAAATATAAACAGTATGTTTCATTTGCAAGGAACCTACAGTTTGCAAACAGATAAGTCAGATGTGTAAAACCGATTTGCACGCAACACTCAGGTTCAGGAAACAAGACTAAGGTCCGGAGGTGGACGAACAACTAGAAATCTCTGCCGGAGTTTACAGCCGGTGATTGCGAAAAAGAAGAAAGAGAAGAAAATACACACATACCGTCATTAAATGACTCATATGCTGGTTAATATTTCCTTTCTCCCAGCTTCTACGCCTCGGCAGACTATGCCAGGAGAAGGACGACTTTCACAACAAGGCCCTAGAAATGCTGGCCTTTTTCCGGCTTCCTGGGTATAATGAACATGTCTTACCTGCCGCATTTCATCGAGCACGGTCTATCCATCGTGTCGAGGCTTTCGTTTCCAAGCGTAAACAGCACCACAACAGACCTATTCTCATACTTACATACCACCCTCACAACATCCCCGATAAAAAATATTCTCCTTAAGCATCTCTCCATCCTTAGGGATGACCCTAACCTGATTTTTTCTGAACTTCCTATAGTGTCCTAAAGACAACATGACCGTAACCTCAAGAACATTTTACCGAAGAGCTGGTTACGGCCTGCGTCAGAGTCCCACTTCGGCAGGGTCTCATGCCACAGACCTGTATGCAGGACATGTCCGTGTGTGATTTAGGAAACAAGTCTGGAATTCCCGAATGCCACCTTCCACATACGTGAAGCATTCTACAGCACGAGCCGCAATGTCATTTACGCCATCAACTGCAAGAGATATGGCATCACATACATCGGTGAAACGGGTCTACGACTGGCTGACAGGTTCAGACATCTTTTGTGCAGAACGGTGCCTTGAAACCAGTACCATTGCACTTCAATTCATAGGACCAACAAGGTGTTCAGGACATGGAGGTGACAGCCATCAAATCTAGCCACTCCAGCGATAAAGTCCGAAAGTCTCTTGAACATCGTTTTATTTTCACTTTGGGCACGTTAACACCTAGAGGACTGAACTGCCAACACAGTTTCACTTAATATATTAGGAGATTGAACTTCCCACACAGTTGTATCTAAAACCCTACAGGTACGGCCTCTGAAATTCACCGGGGATATTTATTCCATTGTCCCACGTGTCTAACCAGTCAGGTGACACGTCACTGTCCTTGCTGCTTCGAGATATTAAGCTAAGTGATTTTGTGTATTTGTGTGGTATTGTTTGATATATTGCTGATGAAGACTCCATAGCCGCAACGTTTTCGTTTGTTTGTATTTGTTGTATCGTGAAGCTTGCTGATATACTTTTCGTTTGTTTTTATTTCTTTTCTTGAATAATTATAGCGATCTTTGTGTGACATTTCTCAAGGAAAACTTCCCATTTTTTCCCCCAGGGGGCCCAAACCATTTTAAAATTTCACATTTTGCACCCGGGCCCCACATCATCAAAACCAACAACGGGTTTGGGGCCTTTTGATCATCCGCTTAAAATTTTCCACACCCCCCCAAAATCAGGAGTGGTATTCTTTCCCCCCCAAACCCCCAAAGAAAAATTTAAAATAAAACTGCCCCCGGCCCCCCCACAATCCTTTGGAGCCCTGCAAAACCCCCGCCTTACCCAAAAAACCCTGTTGTTTGAAATCCCCCCCGACCTACCCCTCTCCGGGTGATAAACGCCACTCCTTAGAAAAGGCTTTAAAAATTTGCCCCCTCTAAGCCCACGGGGCTAAAAAAATACACTTTTCCTCCAGGTGCACACTCCTCTATCGCCTTTTGACCCCTGAAACATCATCACGGGGGTCAACCCACCCCCACCCCGGGGGCCTATTGACAAAAACTACTTTTCTTTCAACGGCCAACAAACCCGTTCCAGTGGCCCTTCCTGTGGTAAATCAAGGCTTTTTGATTAACACCCAGCCACACGTTTTTACTACCCAAAACATTTGGAAAAAAGGGCCCTTTTACCTAAACCCAAACCTCCAAAGGTAAATGGGGGGCTCTCCCTCCCTCAAAAAGGGGAAACCCGTTTTGGGTTATAAAGTCAGTGAAAAAGGGGGGCGTTTGTGGGGGTTTGGGGGAAGGATTTTTATATTGAGGAAGCCAGTACCCAATTTTCCAAAAAACCCGTTTTCTATTCCGCAAAAAAGGGACGACCCCAAAAGTCCCCAAACAATAAGAAAGTAAAGGGACACGTTCAATCATTTTTTTTCACGGGGTATTTCCCTAACCCGGCCAAAAAATATGCGTGTTTTTTGCACCCAAACTTGGAAAAACCGGGAAAGGTACTTGCTGCCTAAGTTTAATAAGCCCAACAACCCTGGGCCGTCCCTTTTGATCTGCATGCTCCTGTCCCAGGGGTTATCTTTCTAAATTTTTTTAGATAGAAATTTTCCAACCGTTGTAACCAGTCCCCCTTCATTTGTAAAAGGACCCCAAACCATCCCCTAACATTTTCGAATCCACAGATTTATTCCGGGTTTAAAACCCTATCATTTTTTCCCTGATAGACGTTTTGGCCCCCTCTATACGTCTTCCCCACTTGATGGTTTTAGAGCACCCCAGTTTTTTTGGGGACAAAAGGCCCAAACCCGATTTTCCCTTTAGTTTTTGTACGCCTTCCCAAAATGGTATGACCCTCAACTTTTTAAATTTTAAATGGTGAGTTTTTTTACCAAAATCGGTGGGGTGCGAGGGCCCCAAAGAGGGTCTATTTACGCGTCCCTTTTTAGGGGCCCCAC